AAGTAGATAAAGATAAAGGATTTTGGCATTTTTAGCAATGTGCATATAAAGGTCTATGAATAAAAATATTAATCCTTTTATGTAGGATAGGATATTTGTAAGCAACAAAAGATAATATGATCCATTAGGATTTAAATATAAAGGGACAAAACTCATAATATAAATATATACCCCTTTTTTCCAATCGGTTAAAAGACTTGGGATATTTGGGGTACTTGGGGTTAAGCATGTACCATCTAAATACTAGAAATAGTCAAAAACATGTTTTAATTTACATAGCACTAGGGCAAAGAAAAGGAGGATTGCCACTGGGATATTCCTTTGTGATTTAGGCATCCAAGATCTTCATTATAAAATGAAACAAAGATGAGGATTTATAATCTTATTTTAGGAGAAAAATCTTCATTATGAGATAAAGTGTAATGCATCTAAATTTAGAGCTGAACTCTAAGTTTATTGCATTACAAAACAAAAGTCTAATATACACTTAATATCCCTTACAAGCGGTAACTCCCTACTACATATTTGAAAGCTCCCACAACCTTAGCCCCCACCCCCCGTCCCCCCTTGAGGAATGCATGCTTTGGCTTTCACCCCAGTCTTAAAAGTTAATCTCTGGGATAAACTAGAAAATTCTTTGAAATATAAAACGGCACTACATTGTTAATTAGGATGTGGGAATAACACCATAGGGTTTAAGACACTCTTTACATTTTTATAGATATGAAATTTAGACACTTATCATAAATAACATATAAATCTAGAATAGAACCAACACATAGAGCATGATAGTGAGAGTGTTTAGTGGATACAGTAAGCTATTATGTATCAATAATAAGGGACTAGATTCAATATCATGGAAGTTCCCAACACTAGCAAGTATAAGCCAACAACATAACTTTCTCATCACTATATCAAGTATATTTAACTTAATAACAATTTAGGATTTCTTTCGTTAGTGCTCTTTTGGTTTAAATGCATATGCTAGCGAATTTCTCAACTAGCTTAGGTGGAGATTATAAAGAGAATCAATAGTATTGACCTTTTGTTGTCATGGCAGTACGGAAAGAATGTCCATAAGGACTAGCTAATAAATATCTTTTGATACTTGAAGTCACATTTATAACATTAAGCCATAAACCATTTATATCTTTCATTCTAATACAATTTAAAATAACATGGGGCTATAGGATATTTTCATCAATCTATTCTTTTTTTTACTGCATCCTAGAATGATATAAGGCCACAAGCAAGTGCAGGCTAATAATACAAGTTTTTCAGACTAGACCAAGTATGCTTAGAAAAAAACACATAAAGGTTCCTATCTTATATTTATCCAATTTACATACATATTCATTGACCAATTTCTCGACTATCTTAAGTGGGAACTAATTGTATTGATCTTCTATTGTAACGCACGTGGTTTTCACCCTTTATCCTATGGTGATTTACCATAGGATAACACCACGAAGCGGAACCTAAACCTTCCATGTGCCACGTGTTATATGCCACGTGTCACATATCATATGTCCATAAGATAGTGGTATGGAACTCGAGGTTTAGGACTTTCGGCCACTGAACGAAGGAACGATGCCAAACTCCCAAGCATGGAGCCAAGGAGTGACGGAACTGAACCATGGAGCAACTCCCAAGCATATAGCCCAAGGAGTGAAAGGATAGGAGCCCGGAATGACTTGGAACAGTCCTAGAGCAACTAACATCCCAAAACCAAAACCAACATGCAAAACAGAGCCAAACAAAATCTAGCGCTATTTTGGTATATTAGTGAGTTAATGTGAGGATATGAGTACTCCACCAACTAGCATGGAATGGAACTTGTGCTTAAACCCAAGCCAGATGCAGAACAAGGACAGGTATGCAAGTGGGAGCTAGACTATGCCTCAAGTTGGTCGGCCATGCCCAACGTACCTCACTATCCCTACTATACATTTGGAACCCCTCCCCCCGAGGAACACATGTTTTGGGCTTTCACCCCAAGCCTCCTTTAGTACCAGGAGTTAATCTCTAAGACAAGCTCAAAACTTATTAAATATGGAATGTCTTTAGATTGTGAATTTAAACACGGGACAAACACCATTGTGTTCAGGACAATTTCTACATTCCATAGATGTGTCAAATGAGTAAATCTAGACACTTTCCATAAATAGCATTTGGGACCGAAATAAAACTAACACAAAGAACATGATAGCGAGGGTGTTTGGCAAACACGATAAGCTATCATCCGATGATATTAAGAGATTAATCTTAATACACAAGGGTTTTTGTCAAGCTAGTGCAAGATAGAGCAAAAGGGAACTAACAAGCCGAGCCAAGTATGCTTGGTTCAATAGACACTTAGGAATTCCCTCTTTATGCTCGTCCGGCCAAGTACAGATGCAAAGGCCAATTTACTAACACTTGAACAAAAAGGGTTGATAAAGGGACCCAGCAATACCAACCTCTTGCCATCGTGGTAGTAAGGAAATAGTGTTTGTAAGGATTGACTGACAGATAACTTTCGATACTTAAAGTCACATTCACGACATCTATTGTCATAACAATAAGGAGAGAGTGTTTGTAAGGATTGACCAATAAATATTTTTTGATATCCAAAGTCACATTCACAACATTCTCCCCCCCCTTAGGGAAGATTAACATCCTTGTTAATGCATACCCTAGTCTATCAAACAATTTCAAAAGTTAATGGAAAGCACATTTTATGGGAGACACAATGACTTATATGAGTGGGGAACTACTTATATCTAAAGATGCTAAGACTCAAATACCCTCCACAATAAGGAAATGACTAATAAAATTAACCGCCCTTATTACTTTGAGTACCACTTAGCTTATAAAGGAATGATATAGTTCTACCTACTTAGATATATAAAGAGAACCGAAGGCCCAACTCTTCTAAGCACAAATCAAAATTTAGATAACTATTATAAATCAACACAACTAATACTATTAAACAAAGTTTAGCACAATTTCAACATAGATAGGAGACAAGTGTCCACCTCTTATCACCCAAGGTGGCTGCCATGCTAGTGGGAGGGGGCTAAGGGGTGGACACTTGTCTCCCATCTAAGGTCAAATAAGAGGAGAGGGCCCACCCTATTGGCCTTGGTCTCCCCCAGCATAGGTGGGAGATAAGTGTCCACCCCTTAGCCCCCTCCCACCAGCATGGCATCCACCTTGAGGCCAAGGGTGTGCAGCCTAGGCTAGCTCCCTACCCACCCTAGAGGCTCAACCTGATGCCCCTCCAGGCCCCACACCATGGCATCCAAGGCCCAAACAACCCCACTCCACCACTATACATTGTGATGTGACCTCACCAAAATGTAGGATTTGTTTTGCTTTCTCATGCTAACCTCTTACCCATGAAGAGGAGATCTCCAATTCAGCAAGGATTACATAGAGAAGAGCATCATAAAAAAAAAAAAAATTTTTAAAATAATTATTAGAAAACAGTACTTCAATCCTTCATCCTTTATATAAAACCAAATAATTGACATGGTTAAACGCATAGGCAAGGGGCTCAGCAATGGTTTATGGTTTTTCTTAGTCAATCCTTGATGATACCTTAGCTTATTTTGAATCCCAAAGTGTTTATCATAGTAATTTTTATGGTTTGATATTCTTATTCTTTAACTTGCTTCATTTTCAGGTTGTTTGACATAAATTTTTATATGGGGCTCAAAGTGAAGCAACTATTAATGACATAGCTCTTTTCAAAAAATATTTTTGCTTCATAATTTAAGTGGATCAATTGATTTAGATATACTTTAATATTTAATGAATAAGGCTAAAAATGGTGAAAGCTGATTATACTCAAAATGATAAATTAGAATATTGAATTGTATAAGGTCTTAAATAGTTAACATAATAGAGTTTTGTAAATCTTGTGTATTATGATTAATTTTCTCCAAAAAGGTTGAAAATCCTTTTGATAACATCATAAGAAATTATTTTCCAAGCATTCAAAAATCTTTAGTAACTTTTTTTATTTTTAAAAAAATAATTTTATAAATTTGAGGTAAAACCAAATAGATAACTAAAAATTGAAATTTTATTTATATCAAATCTAAACTATAAATGAGTTTTTAATTAAAATAAAATCAAACTTTTTTGATTATTGACTTATGAAATACTAGCCTTAAACCCAGCTTAGCTGGATTATGATGGTTCAAGTTGTCCTCCTGATCTTGAGTGTAGTTCTTACTATATTGTAATTAAGAAGATGTGAGATCATCTGGGGCAATGGTAGGTGTCCTGGGACAGACTTACCGTCCAAACCCTGTGATCATGGGAGGTGAGGACAGGTTTCAGGTGAGCTCACTGCTGGCTGTGGATTGCAAGCCGTGCAAATTCAAAGGGGCTGACATGGCTACTGCTTTGCTTCTGCAGGTGGTTATGATAATCCAGTGCAGAAGCGGCAGAAACGGTGGGATGATGTGCCACAGATAGATAAAAATCAGTAGACGCTTGAACATGGTGATGTACTGAACAACAAAACAGAACTATACAACGATTTTATTTATGACTCTAGTGGTTTGTGACAAACTTGTGAATCTTTTGGTACAGTTTTGCTTTTTTTATGAAGCTGTTGTAATCCAACGCTAGGTTTGGTACTCGGCCCCCTCCACCATGGGGGCCAATCGAGCAATCGCTTCCAATATGCTTTCCAAGCTCCATCTTCAACGAGTAAGCCATCGTCATGATCCAAGCTTTAGCAAGTTGTCAACGATACTCATGTTTTAGCCTTTTAACATAATCACTAGTGTGTCACAAGGGTTATCATTCTTAGGGCATGAAATGATAAAGAATGTATACAAAATATAATCAAATTTAAGTTTGTATATGAGCTAGAATATAAACATCTTGATTGAGAGATTCAGTATTTGCACTGTTGTCTTCATGTGCTCATCAGATTAAATAATAAATAAAAATTTATAGTTTAGAAAACTTAAGTCTTATAAGGACAGGTATGAAATAAGAAGTCGGGGTGATATAGTCAACGGCTCCAGAAGCTGGGTTTGAAAGCATAAAACTGCTTACCTCTATAGGTGACATTTTTAATGAGTCCTTCAGAATTGCGGGGCCCTGCTCTTTGTTTAGCACCATAGTTGAACTTCAAGAGCTGCTGAATGTCTTGTAACACCTCAGGAACGTCTCCATAGTAAGAGTGATGCAGCGTGTTCAAGTCCATGCCAGTCACGTCAATGGTATCCACATTTTTGAGCTTCAACAAGCTTTGATCATCCAACTGCAAGTAACTGCGGATGTCTCCCAGGGGAGTCCTCCAGTTGGCAGCTCTTGAGGCACGGAGCGCAACGTCCACAAAGGAACAGTAGACTGTGAAATGTGGCCCTTGCTTGTGTTTGGCCGCACTGTCCACCAATTTTTCAAAGCATCTCCTCCGTTCATCTGCTGCAGCCAATATGACGTTCCTCAAGGGAGCAGCTGTTTCAACATCAGTTAGTACTTTGTCCAGGGCAGCGATCAATGCTCTGTTTCCCATACTATGAGCTAGGATGTGCACCTTGGTTGCACCTAGCTGCACACACAATTTACCAAGCAGAATTATGTCTTAACCTCCCCAACGGAATGGAAGTTACCTTGGTGAAGCACAAACGGAGGAACTTGGCTAGACTGTCCACTGTTTGTTTGACAGCCTTAGCATCGTGCTTGTAGCCGAAGAGGCTGCCCTTTGAAGCCCAGCTATAGCAGATCAATGCCCCTTGAAACTGAATATCACATTTCACCTGAGCAGCTCTTTTTGCGGCATCCTTGAATCTGACATTGTACCCGTGGATATAGAGCAGAACCTCGTTGCCATCCTCACCAAGTTTTTTATTCTCCAGCATCTCGCTTCTGACCATTTGTACAAAGCCCTGTTCTGAGTTCTGTACCGTGGTGTCTATTGCTAATATCACCACATGAGACAGTGGGCTTGCCTCTTCGTCGGATTCAGGTTCCTCAACCTTGCCTTTGTGGTGCTCGGATGGCACACCAACAAGAACTACGCCATAGTGTAATGCACCATTCATATTTGAACGTGAAGTTTCAGAAGAATTAGTAGCAGCCTCTATATCTGAAACCTCAGTGTCGTCACCTTCATTGTCGTCACTTTCATTATCCAATGCCTGGCCAGGAGCTTTCCTTCGTGATCCCAAGTACTCACAGTCTTCGGTGACTTGCCTGTCAGTGGCATATAAAACTTTCTCAACCCTGTATCTAGCCGGAGGTGGCAGCTCGTTAATGTTGACAGTTCCTCGCCTTGTGTCTCGAACCCTGTATCCCTTGATTCGTTCTACCATACCTTTTACAAGCTGAATGCAGGCCTTCATTATCTCAGCTTCATTGTATAGCTTTGTGTTTATTGCCGGTTCTAGTTCCTGGGGATCAACTGCTGTATTTAAAAACTCCATCCATGATTGACCACGTTGAGGCAAGTAGCCCTCCACTAAACAAGAGATCTCGGGCATAGACTGGAGGTAAGTCACCAAGTGCTGGTCAATGGCTTCAGACAACTTTGCAACATGGGCTGGATCAACACTTTGGTCGTCCTCAACAGGATCATTGTCGAGCAGCTTATCAGCATCAACTTTGCTAGCACTAGTGTTTCTTTCATGCTCGAGAATCTTGTTAAGAATGGAAGTGAAGTGAGAAACAAAGGGATACCATTCATTGCGTGACACAAGGGAAGGTAGTTTATGGATCTGATCGGACAATGCTTCGAGCAGGATGAAACGGGGATACAGGAGATGCAAGTCATTCTGCTTCGATGGCAATAGTGTTGCATGAGTCTGGCGCAAACGGAAGAACAAGAACGCACCTACAATGCCAGCAACAAGTGTAGCCGCTGTCGTTTGTAAGAGGATTGCCATGGTCCTCCCACTAAACTGTGACGCTGACCTTGAGGTTTTCTTATCCACGCGCATCCGGTTCATAAATTTGGAAATTGGAATGCAAGCAAAGCAAAAAAGAAAAGAAAAAGTATGAGCATCTCCTTTGACAGGTTCTTGTACGTTTGTGTACATTTATTCTTCATTTCTCACTCGTTGAGTTTTCTCTACAAAAAATAGTACAGCAAGAGCATCTTCTTTTACAAGGCTGGCACTAGTGTGTACTAATATGTTCATAGGTTCTGCACCACATAAGCACTTCTAGCTTGAAATGCAGGCAAGGGAGAAAAGCAAAAGTAATAGAGCCTACTTAGAGCATCTTCAGCCAAATGCCTTCGAAAAATCCCGAGATGAATTAATGATCAAAGCAGTGGAGGATGGTTATAGAATATCATAGGTTGAACTCTCTTCATTGATCACATTTTTTTACAATGGTTGTCTTGTCGAACTGCACCGATGTGTCTGGCTTCGACTTCGAGAATGTGTTCGAGCAAAGGCGGCACCACTTCTTCACCAGTGCTACTCTGCGTTCTTTCACCGGAGGCATGGAGCTGGCTCTGCCTTGGTGGATCTTACCCCCAATGCTGTACCATTCACCAGACAACTATGACATTCGGACCGTGGTTCCCAAGGCCACCGAGGACGAAGGGCTTTTCATGATGCACGACCACTTGGGGAATTCATGGCAATTGGACAAGGTGAGCCGATTGCTTTGAGTTGGAGCATCATCAACATCGTTTCTGTCTTGAACAACAGCATTTGCTCAAGCAGCACGAGGAAGCGTTATCGAGCATCCATGCCCCTATGGTACGAGCGTTGAAGATGATGAAGAAGCTCAGCTACACAGAAGCAGTGCATCTCTTCAGGTTAGCCTGTGAAAGAATGTGGCCTTGCCACCGGAAAATGTCACTTGGATTGTGGGTGTTGCTTCACCTTGGGCATGCATCTCTCCGTGCTGCCATGGTTGCAGAAGATGCCTCGAAAGGGCATTTGCTCCTGCAGCAGGCACTAGAGGCTCTGGGAGAATGTGTTGACAATGCCAAGGCTACCACCTTGCATTCTTTCAACCGGAGCGTCTTATTCAGTGCTACGGTGGGGATGGCCTGGGTTTATTTCTTCAAAGGCGATCCAAGTCGAGCCATGCGACTCGTTAGAGAAAGCCAGGGGATTGTAGTGGACAGGCGAGCGTTATCAGCTCGAGCGGACTGTAACCTCGACCTTGTTTGGGCCTTGATTGCATTTCACACCGTGTGGGGGGATTTGAAGGAAGTGCAGGCTTATCTCAGCAGGTTGGGCTACTTCTTCTCTCAGACTGAAGACGAGTATCATATAGGCGCCATGGAGATTCATATTGAAGCAGTTCTCAAAGGCAACCTCAACACTGGCTTCTACATAGCTTGCAAGTATTTAGCCAAGGGGAGGCTCATTTTTCATCCCCTGCGTGATGCTGACCGCTCGGAGATATTGCCCGAGCACTTGCATGCACTGACCTGTGGTATGCTCGGGGATATATGGTTTGCTCTTGGGATCAACAGTGAGGCCATGCTCGCTTATGAGAAAGCTTACGTTGAGGACAACCTTTTGCTACGAGCAGGTTCTTTGGTTGGGAAAGCAAATGTCTGCATGAGAATGCTGGGTGAAGGGGATGCGAACTACAAGGACTACATTAACAAGGCCAAACAGAGCTATGAAGAGGCTTTCAATATTTACGAGGGGCTTGGGCATAAGACCGGAATGGCAATTGTGCACTGCAACTTGGGATCTTTGCATCAAGAGAAGGAGCATTTTGAGCGAGCACTGCAACATTTTACCATGGCTAGAGAGGCTTTCGTAGTGGATGTGCTTGGCTTGGACTGTCGGGTGGCTCAGCTGGAGGTGTTGCGAGGAGATCTGGATGCAGCAGTGGTTTTGTTTCAGAGAAGTCTGGATAGCCTGGATCCAGACAAACCAATGCTAGTAGCTTGGATGAAGCATCAGGTTGGTCTGTGTTTTCTGCGAGCCCACCATAGAGGTAAAGGCAAAGGATCTGATGCTCTGATGAAAGCCAAGAACAACTTGGTTGATGCTGTGAAGATTTTCGCCAAAGTGCAGTTTACGATGACCACAACACCACCTCTTATGTTCGTGGTATTTGAAGGCCAGAAGGCAACTTACAGACTTCTCGAGTGGTGCTTTGCAACCGAGGGGAAAGCTATGGAAGCATTTGTTTGGGCAGAGCGTGGACGATCAAGGCTCCTGATGCAAGAAAGATGGGATGACGTTATTGAACACTATCGTTTGGATGACAGGAAAACTTTAGAAGCACTAGGCTCACGAGCATTTGACAGTTTAAGTTACGACTCAGCATGGACGTGTCTGATGAAGTGGCGACACTTTTGTTCATTACAGTCTAAGGCAGCAATAGTAGAGTACACAGTCTGCTCGGATTTCGGCATCATAACCTATGTGCTTGATGGAAATTCAAAGCCGAAAGTCAGCTGCAGAGCATTTCGTGATCTTGGTCCTGAGTTGGCGAGCGGGAAGAAGTTCGAAGCCTTCATCAACACCAGTGTCGACACGATTGTTCATGGTTCACAGTCACAGGCAAATGAATGCCTGACCAAGCTTTATGATCTCCTTCTCAGACCAGTAGAGGTGCACTTGAAGCGTCTCAATCAACTGGTAATTGTTCCCCACGAGGTAACGTCGTCTTTCTCATCTTCTCGTTGTATTTGCTGCTAAGTTAATCAGCATGCATCGCAGGTGCTCTTTAAGGTCCCGTTTGCCGCTCTTATACACAAAACTGGAAGTTTCCTCATCCAAAAGTATCGTCTATCTCTAGCGGACTCGGTTCGAAGCTTGATCCGAAGCTCAATGCTTACAAGGCAGCACCAAGCTTCTCGGCAAGCAGAGGGCAATGCTAACATGCTCATTGTTGGGATTGGGAACCATTCAGCTGTAGGTGAAGCCAACTTGGCTTTTGCAGAGCGTGAGGCACAGCAGGTGGCTCACATTCTGAAGAAAGGTTGTGGTGAGAAGCTGGTTGTCCTGTTGGGAGATAATGCAACAAAGAAGGAGGTCCTGGGAAACATCAGAATGTCCAGTGTGGTGCACCTGGCGACACACGCAATGGTGACAAATAAGCATGAACAAGGGGCGATTCTCTTATCCGCAGCAGGGAGAATGCAGGCCGACTCAATCATGTCGTGGCCATCAAACCCGTCTATTGAGAACCGAGCTGTTGATGCAATGGCAGTGTTGAGGTCCACGGAGAAGTTTCAACAGACGATTGAGATCACGAGAGAAGTCGTTATGGATGCAGAAGAGCTCTCAAGAATGGTTCTGAGTGCAGACCTGATGGTACTTAGCGCTTGTCAAACTGGACGAGGGGTCATAGCGGGTGAAGGGGTGGCAGGCTTGGGGCGAGCAGTGTGCACTGCAGGGGTAGCATGCTCAGTCTTGTCACTTTGGCCTGTTGGGGACGAAGCTACTTGTTGCCTAATGGAGACGTTCTATCAAGAGCTGGTTGCTCACAGCAAAGACGTTGGAAGCGCCATGCAGACCTCAATGGTGAGGATGATCGAGGAGAAAGCCAGGTTCGGAGGTTCACGCTGGACTGTTGATTCCTGGGCGGCCTTCTTACCATTTGGTCTGCCAACAGTGACAATTGATAAGTCTTAGAATCCCGCAACACAATAATATTTAATTATTAAGATTAATTAAATAAATGCATTTTATTGAATAGCAAAATACTAACTTTTAGAAAAACATAATGCTTAGAAGTTTTAATGATATTTTTTCTATGATGTTCTATGCATGGTAAATTAAATGTGTTTTACAAATGGGGTGCTTGAATGATATACACATATATTATAATTTTTTTTCAACCTTTACTATATTAGTGGTTATTACTAAATAGAAATTACTCAATTGTTTTATGATCTTTTCCATCTATCAATTTCTACTTATCCATCAGGATTCACATAATCTTTTTTAATTCATATTTAAACTTTCATGCTTACATAAAATGGAAAAACAAATTCATAAAAGTAAAAGGAAGTTTGCTGTAGAATTTTTGGTTTGCTTAACCAAACTTGTAGGGGATGGTAGTGGATATACTTAAAATATGCTTGGATATTCTGGGATATTCTACCATCTAATGGTTATTATTCATTTAAATTAATCATGTATTTATAATTTATAAACATGTTTATAATTTATAAAATTTCTTAAACACTTTCTAGTATATTCTTTGTTATTCTACCATCTAATGGTTGATATGAAATAAGATTAATCTTTTTTTTATAAATTATAAACATATTCATAATTATAAAATTTTATTTGATCAATTGGATTAATAAGTAAGAATAACATTACTGTTAAGCAAACCAAGTATTGCTACATGCAATGCATAGCAAATTACCTTTTATACAAGTTAGTTTCTTGTAAAATTAAAATTTAATAGGAACAAACCTTAAAAATATGTTTGTCACTTTTATTTATTTTCAAAGTTTTAAAGCTGCATGTAAAATAAAATTACTCTAAGCTAAATTGTTAATCACAACTAATATCATATTCAAATCTTATTTAATGGACAATAGATGCACATTTTAAAACAGAAATAACAGAAATTATATAATTAAGTTATAGTGTTTCAAATTAACATTTATATTTATATTTTATTATCTTTTATTTTAGAAGAAAAATATAAATTAATTCCCTTAAAGCAACCTATAAAATGCTTAATGTTATAGTATTTTCACTAATGCAATAATGTGAGAATGTGAGTTTTTTATTATATAGATATATGAAATTGTATGTTTAATATATTAAATTAAATAGTTTTGAATTAAATTTTTTTAATGATTTTGTGTGATAAAGTAATGTATTGTTTGCAGATTTAAAAACTTTTTAAATATTTATAATATTTTTTAATATTATATCTTTAATTAATCATAAATATTTTATTATCATGTATAAAACATTATAGAAAGTTCATCTTTTGAAGTAATATTTTAAACTACATAAAGTACTCA